TTTCCGCAGCCTAGTAGACTGTTATCTGTCTTTGAGATGCCTCTGGCCTTTGTGGCCACTGGCAGTCAGAAGCCCCTGGGCACTGATCCCACTGTCCCAGGCTAGGTTTTCCAAAAGCATCTTAGCACAAAGATGATTCCTAAATGGTAGAGCGAGCATCACCACAAACACTCTACAGGTTAAGATGGTCTTAAAGGTACACTATGTAAGTTTGGGGGATTTGGAGACCTCTCTGGTGGTAATGTGTAAATGCAAGTGATGTGTGGAAGAATACTTTGTGATATGGGTTGTGCTTTGGATTCCTTCCCTGAGCGGATGAATCTGATGATTGTGAGAAAGTTGAGAGTATTCAAAGAGAACTTGGCGAAGGATATGTCTTCTGAGGACGTGAGTGAATGATCTACTATTGTCATCGTATCTTTATGTGGTACCAATATGTGGTTGAATCTGTGTGTGTGATGTTAATATGTAACGACATTTGTGGTCTGAAATGCTCCCACAGAATCCAACCTGATCCATCTCTGATATTTAGATGATTATTTCAGGCTGTTGGGAAACTAGGCCCTGATCAGTAATACCCCCCTGTGATTGGCAGAAAATCGAATTCACAGTTTTCCCCTTATCCCAAATGCAGTCAGTCAGTCAAGACATGTTCGGTGTCTTAAGTTTGCTTCTTTAGTTTTGCACTGGAGGCCGATGTAGCTAACAAGTAATGGAAACTTATCACCACCAATTAGCATCATGCAAACTGCCTTCTAACTCATCATACACTTGTCTTAACCCATGTTAAGTTGTTAAGTAGCCTCAAAAAAGACTTGCTCATGTGGTTTCTCCATAAAATAAGAGAAAACAACAGTACATCACTATTAAGAAGCATATAGTCACAGTCATCTTGAAACCTGAATTTTGTCTGTACATTTGCTTCCCAGGCAAAATTATGTCAAATTAATTTTGCACTAAACAATTTCTTTAATATTACTTTAATGTCATTTACAGTACATCTTAATCCTCAATTTTCATTGATACATCAAGGAATATCGGCACAGCTAGACTCAGCAGAAAAAGTCCGGCCCTGCATTCCTCCAGCACTGGATCTGCAGTCCAGCACTTTAACTCTGCTGCAATGAATTATGCCCCATTATAGATGCATTCCTGCTCCTCCAAGGTTATATAACGTTCAATATGCAGTAGCCGAATGTGAGAGACAACTAAATTCAGGTCAGAGCGCAGCAGGAAGGCTTCCTTTTCATGTTTCATCCAGAGGGGTCACTCCTGCAAACTCATTAAGACAAGAAATGCAAATGCTGTCTTTTTTAGATATTTGCTTTTTTTTCTCCAGTTTTGCCTCTTATTATGGCGGCATGCGGCTGTAGAGGGGTGATTAGGACGGGCGGGCGGGCAGGAGAAGCTCGTGGCATCAGGACCTGAACAGCACCTCACAGCTGATATCACTGTGAAAGCTCCCATTTAACTATACTTACTTAGTTGAGTGTAAATGTAATCAAACACATTTTTTCTAAGGGGAATTCCACCAATTCTTCACTTTTCAGTTTAATTCAAAGGTTAAGATGCAAACAAAGTCATTCAGAGTGGTTTGGTGTGAAATGGCTCATTGCAAAGAAACTTATCGACTCAGATTTCTTTACAATGGCAGTGATAGGAACAATACAAACACAGCCATTTTATTTACTATCCAAAATGACCAGTGAACCTTCACGTCTTCTGAGTTTCTCTATGTAATCACACACAAATTAGTGGTAAATCTGAAAAGAAGGCTAGATTTTGCCTCACAATGTCCTGCATGTACCTCTAACCAAGAATGGATGGGAACAAAAAACTATCGTAAAACAATGTTTGAGGCATCAGGCAGAAAAATCACAATAGTTTCATGTTATAACTTTCTGTGTGGCAGCTTTCAGAGATATTAAACCATTCAGACATCTGGTTCCTATCACCACCACTGTGAACAATTCTGACTCTGTATGTATCTAATCAATCCTTCATTAAATCAGTTCTGGTGCTGCTGATGGAGTTTACCAAATCCATACAGTGACTTTAGTGCAGTGAGCAGTCAGGAACTAAACCTGAGTTCATCTGAACAACATATCAATAACTCTCTTTCCAAACCAACAAAAGTGTTACATTTCACTGTGTTTATATTTATTGAGATTAATTTTAATGCTTTATGATAATAAAATAATCTTTTATAATAAATGTGCACCATTTTTTCCTTTTTTTGTTATTTGTTCCTTTTGTTTTTTCTCCTCTTTCTCGTAGCCTAAACATTCTGTTTTTTTTTTCCATTTTGTGTTTGATGGTTTCCTTCAGCACCGAAACTCAGCCTGGAACCTTCCTCACAATCCGGTCTCAGCTGGAATTAAGACTGTGTTCATATAAGCTGTGTAGAAATGATAACCTCAAAAATATTTTCCATATTTTGTTTTTTGCCTGAAAACAAAAAGAAAATAATAGTTTATTAAGTGTGTTGAAAAGAAGCTGGACTGAAGTAACCATAAGAGTAATAAACAAAACTATATTTGTACAGTATGCAGTGAGCAGTCAGGAACCAAACCTGAGTTCTTCTAAACAACATATCAATAACTCTTTTTCCAAAACAACAAAAATGTTACATTTTACTGTGGTTATATTTATTCATATTAATTTTAACGCTATACAATTTTCTGAGCTGCCTGAGACTTTTGCACAATACCGTATGCATGTACGAGTGTTTTACTACCTTCTTCTGTCTCTTTTTAACTGAACCAGCTTTGGTCATTTTCCTAAATGTTTATTTTTTTAATCATTTAGGATTTTATGCATTGCTCAAAAAAAAAATTCCTGATCAAGAGTGTGTTATGCACCCTTACTCAGAGCGATGGTAGAACTGACTGTCTCAGTGTTGATATCTAGATTTAAAGTTTTAAACACAGTAAGTATAAATGTATGAAAAAATATGAAAAAGAAACTTTTAAATGTCTAATTTTTTTTTTTGCAAGAAAGTTTTATAATCTCTAATTTCTCTGACATTCTGTAGACTACATACACATTTTTGCATGAATTGAACTTTTTATATTTGATTATTTTGTGTGTGTGTGTGTGTGTGTGTGTGTGTGTGTGTGTGTGTGTGTGTGCGCGTGTGTGTGTGTGTTTCTCCTCCTCTCTCTCTCATTCGGATCCAAACCCAAACTCCTTTGATCTTTTTTTTTTCCTAGTCTCCTTTACCCGGAAGAGGAACCCCCCCTCCTCCCCTCAGCTGGGACGCGCGCGCACGTGGTCGCCCTCCCTCCACATTTACACACACAAAGAAGGAGAGGAGGAGGGAGGGGGGGGCGAGAAGGGGAGCAGATGAAAGAGCCGCCCTGAAGATCAAAGGGAGCCGCGGCCCCGCCCATAGACCCCGCCCACCGCTTTATAAAGCCCACCTCCCTCACAGCAAACTCACTCTCACGCAACCGGCGGACGCAGAGCAGACACACTCACTCACTCACTGACTGAGTCACTCGGCTTCTTCAGTTATTTATTACTTACACCTTCTTTAGTTTCTCCACACTGTACGATTCTGAACGAGCTCATCAGCTCAGACTTCTGTCTCTCATTTAAATGTTCCTTTTCTTTTTTGTTTTTTTTTTCCTTTTGTTTTTTCTCCTCTTTCTCGTAGCCTAAACATTCTTTTTTTTCCTTTTTGTGTTTGACTGTTTCCTTCAGCACCAGAACAATCCCGTCTCAGCTGGAATGAAGGCTGTGATCATATAGGCTATGTAACCATAATAAGCAAGAATATATTTGTACAGTATGCAGTATGCATTATATATATATATATATATATATATATATATATATATATATATATATATGTGTATATATATACACACACACACATATATGTATATATATATATATATAATTCATCAATTGAAAATAAGACTTTAATCACACCAAAAATAGGCGGTCTTAATGAGTTTTATATAAAAACACTGCATATATCGTACAGATTTTGTAAAATATTTAGACATATTTTTGCATTTATTGTACTTGTACATACCTTTTTTTGGTGATTAAGACTAAAGCCTTAATTTAACCCGGACTGACTGATTTTCTGCTTCATTATTGTCGCCCTTCAGCTCCATCTAACCAGCTCGCTGCTTAGTGTGACCAATTAATCAGCTCAAATCCAGAGTTTCATATCTTTTCCAGTGATTTAAACAGCTCTGAAAGATAATAGAGTTTCTTTTTTAATTAAAGCCCCCCTACACCCACCCACCCACCCACCCAACCCCGCCTACCTCTATGACTAGCTTATAAATAAGACTAAATCAGAATTTTCACCACTAATTATAACTGGATGCGTATATATATATATATATATATATATATATATATATATATATATATATATATATGTAAGTTCATGACAAGTACACACACTTTTATTTATTATTATTATTTTTTTCAACAGCTCGAGCTCTTAAACTTGTAACTTTCCTCCAGTAAATGTGTGTACAGGCTTTAACACTCTAAACCCCCTTCTCCTCTTCTCCTCTCACTGTTTTTTCTCTTTCCTGTCCTGCCATTTGCTGAGAGATTGATAAACCCCCTCCTCCTCCTCCTCTTCCTCCTCAGGAGTGTCAATCGTTGTGGTGTCAATCAGCTCGGCGGCTCGGCTTTCATCTCTCTCTCCCTGCAGTCAGTGTGGGAGAGGAGAGGAGAGAAGAGGAGGAGAGGGAGGAGAGCAAAGCTAGGGTACACACACACTCTCTCTCTCTCACTCACACACACATTCACACACTCTCAGTCAGTCAGAGTGTGAGCAGCTCGAGAGTGAGGAGCGCGGCGGCTCCGGTCTGGACCTTCAGCAGCTTCGACGACCACGACCACGCGCGTTTTAACCGCTGTTTAAACGAAAAAAAACAAAACATTTCGAACTCTCGATATCGATTAAACAAGTCTGGTTTCTCTCCTCGTGGATCTCCTCTGAGACTGAAGAGCAACCAAACAAACTTCTCGTGCTTTGACTCCAGCGGAGACGCGCGAGCGTCTTGTTTTTCCGTTTGTTTCTGCGTCGACACGCGCTCGGTTTTCGCTTTTTTACGTTATCTGTGTCAGAACGTGTTGCGTTGTTTCGACATTTTTCGCTCAGGAGGATAATTTCGCACAGAACTGAGCAGGAAATACACATTTTTTGTAGCGGTGGTGACTCTGGCTTTAGCCTGGAGAGAGTGTTTATAAGTGCGAGTGAGTTTTTTTTTCTTTTTCTGCTTAAAAGTTTGATTTTTCTCTCAGAGCTTCAACGTCTGCTTAAAAAGAGAGATTGCATCTCAGTATTTCCTTCAGGGATTCGGGGCTTTCGTCCCACCACATACACACACTCACACTCTCTCTCTCTCACACACACACACACACACACACACACACTGAGCTCTCCTGTTGCTCCCCACGCGCTTCGTTCTCACGTGAAGTTTTTTTTAGGAGTGTTTTTTTTCTGAGGGGGATTTTTGGGGACGTTAGCGTGTTAGCATGCCCCAGCTAGCTGGAGGTGGTGGAGGTGGTGGAGGTGGAGATCCTGAGCTTTGCGCCACAGATGAAATGATCCCGTTCAAGGACGAAGGAGACCCGCAGAAAGAGCAGATCTTCGCCGAGATCAGCCACTCGGAGGAGGAAGGAGACCTAGCCGAGATCAAATCTTCTCTGGTCAACGAAACGGAGGGCAGTCCCAACAGCACCAACCACGATGTGAGTAAAGAAGAGATGGGCGAACGGGCTGCTGCCCAAAACTGCCTTCAGTTTACTGTAGACTTAGTATAGAAACAGTGTAGATTTCTTTAATCCCGTTATACACCAACTATATCACAGTAGCTCCTAAAAATCATTACGTATAACATCACAGTGCTCACAACTGTCAAAAGCTTCTTTAAATTAATATAGAATCACTTTAGATCTCCTTTATATCACTAGTGTCATCACTAAAATCATCCACTACACTACAGTCTTTTCACTATATGTGGCCTATCATTATTATTAATAATGTGCTTTTCTAGGTTTTTTAGTACCATCTTATTTACCACATTAAATTATTATAGAAGCAGTGTAGATTTCTTTAATCCCGTTTATTAAAAAATAATAAAAATACATAGAATAACAAATATAAGTGCCCCACAACTGTATTAAGCTTCCCTAAATTAATAATCACCTTAGATCTCCTGATTCCCTCTATACATTTACTAATATCAACCACTGCACTACACTGTTTATTCACTATATGTGGCCTATAATTATTATTATTAGTGCACTTTTGTAAGATTGTCAGAGGCATTTTGTTTTATTTAAAAAATAATGACCACTATACACGACCACTATCATTCCTTATAATAAACCACCTCTTCTGTATAATTAATATCAGCTTTTGACCAGTGGTATTGTGCCTGATAATACTTGTAATAATTACCTCTTCTCTAAATAATTACTCTTTGTTTTTTCTCCATGAGTCAAAGCAGAGAAACAGTTCACAGGTGTCTATTTAAAATTGTTTCTATACGTCACTGATTTCTTTACCTATAATGCACTGCATGTCCACTGTATAATCATTCTTAATATGTTTGACCACTGTCACCATTTCAGGCCTGTTTAAAATTGCCTCTGTACATCACCTTTATCTTTCAGTATTATAAACAAAGTGTCCCTTTAATATAGCCACCAACTGCTGCCCCACACTGCCTGAATATTTGCATCCACCACTGTAATCTAGTGTCGGTTCACTGTATGTGGCCTATAATAACTATTATTTCAAAGTTGTCTATCTAAACAGTTTAAAGGTGTCTTATTTAAAATACATTCTCACCATCGCTCACTACAATCCACTCCTTGTTCACTGTGAATAGCCAAGGACTGCTTCTTCAAACTGCTTCGGATTATATATAATCCCTCTATCCATCACCTTCTTTTGATGTGATCCGCTGCCTGTTCACGGTATATGCGGTTAACGTCAGTGTATTTTTTTTTCTTTGACCTGTACGATTTTCAGAGATATCAGATTTAAATTTGGTTGCATAACTGTTAGCAATACAACAGACAATTATTAGTAGTGGCCTCTTTGGCTACTGCATGTGTTCTCTTTCTTTTAGGAAAAAAAAGTGGTGTCCTATATAAAATACATCTTCACTCAATCCACTGCTTGCCCTATATTCCCTATAATTAATGAGCTAATAAGCTAAGCTAATTTCTATTTGAAATTGGTTGCAATATGAAGAGAATTCATATTTTTGCCTGTGGTTTGAAGACTGCAGGATGTCAAGAGTAGATTTGTTTTATTCTACAGTAGTGAATCACATCAAAATGAATCGAAATCAGAAGTTCTAAATAAATTAATAGTTTGTGCATTTTGGCCTCATTAAATATATATTTTCATTAGCTGAAAAATATCTTAATTCAGATTTTTTTATTCTGAAAACGAATTATAGTAATTATCATTTATCAATTTTTATGATTCTTATTTTTCTTTAAACAAAATCAATTTAATGTTGTTAATAATTTTAGATGAAATATTAGTTTAATCTACTGTACGGTTTATTTGACACTTTATGAAACAGTAGAGCATCTTCTGTTTTTTTGTGGAAATATTAATTACAGAGCCCCAGCTAGGCTTCTGATCTTCCCAACCGTGCCTTCCTAACTTCTCTTTCCATGCAACCACATTGTGATATTTCCCCCATGAACCATACAGAGTAGCCTGTGGACATTTTCGTGTCGCATCCCGTTTGAAAATCATTTTTCATTGGGATAAATTATTTTCATGGATTTTTCATGAAAAAGATGCATGAATGCAAATGATCAAGGCTGGCTTTCATGCATTCTGCCATCCTGCCCTAACTGGAGAATATGTACTTCTGGTTAGATCACTGCTCCTGTGATGCTGATATAAAGAATAAATTGTGGTATCATTATTTGTGAAGTTGCCCAAATGCTGATGTTTTGGTCACAAAATGAAAATCCTTTCACATGAATTCAGATGCAGAGTGCAGAGGGAAGCATGCCATATTTGGAGCTGAGCTTTATTAGCCGACGTTAATGAAATGCCTTCCCTCCTGGCATTCACGAAATTCAGGGTTAGGCAGTGACATGAGGAAGAATCAAGTGATGGGGTAAATGTTAATTGGGAATCCATTGCAGCTCCCTGACTCTGCTGGAAGGCACCCTGAGGGAGCTGCACTCCAAATCTAGTTTATTTTTCACTGCTTCCATGTTTAGAGAAAGTGTGAGATGCAGCATGCAGGCTTGCTTTAGATGTATTTATTTTTCACAGGTTTGTGATGGAAATGATCTCATCACAGGAAATATCAACAGTTTGAACTGGATTTCTGTAAGATTACTGTTTATGAAATATTCATAATAATCTGGCTCCTTATGGGCACGTCTTCTGATGGAGTGTATAACTTACTCTTAAAAGAAGCGATAACTGTCTATTATACAGGATAAAAGAAGTCAATACAAGTTATTCTCTCTCTCTCTCTCTCTCCCTCTCTCTATGTGCATCTCTCACTCTTCCTCTCTGCCCATGGTCTGTCTGATATATGCAGCATGAACTTGGCTAATCACCTCTCTCCTATTCCTTCATGTCTTTTTAACAGGCAGCTAGACAGTCCCAAATAACGCCAGATTCCTACCATGACAAACACAGAGAGCACCCAGATGATGGTAAGTAAGGTCTGGTGAAGTAAAGTTGTGCCTTTGTGTTTCATTGCAGAGATTTTATCGAAATGTAGAAAAGGATCAAATTAGTATTGCTGCTCAATGAAGACAATTTTTAGAGCAACTAAATAAATCTAAGATTAATCTTTTATTTACAAATTTAGCATCACATTGAACAAATATATTCCCACCTCTTCTCATTTGTTCGTTAAAAATAGCTTAATAAATTTAATCGAATGCTATCAGTTATTTAAATATTTTGATTTAGTCAGACGCTAAACTACTTAAATGTTGTTTGACAAGCCACTTAAATATTGCACATATGTTAGTATGGCATTCATTGCAAGTAAAAAGACTAGTTTCATGCAAAACGTAGGGATGCACAACGATCTCACAGTCATCTTGATTCAGCAGATAATAATAATGTTAAACAAAATTAATGACCATCGAATGGATGTTTAGATTGAACCGATGTTTTCTTACTAGTTACTGTGTTAAAATATTTCGTTTGTAAACCTGTACAAACACACATTTCTCTAATGCCAATACAGGTGATCTAGTCCTAATTTGTACATTTTACAAATGAATGTGTCTCAGCATCGACCGATTTGTTCATTCAAAGATTTAGTGCTGAAGTAGTAGAAGGCACGTGGCAGTGAGGTGGTCTAGCAGACTTGCCCCCACTCCCACTGACACACTGGCCTCCAAACACACACACGCTCCAGCGCTACTGTCAGGGACGTGTCGCTGCGGAGTTCGTTTGATCTTCAGTGATTGCTCGTCAGGCCGATGCTGGAATGGTGTGCCTCACAATAGAAGGGGCTTGTAGTCTTTTTTGTTCTGTGGCTGTTGTGAATAGCACACAGCACACCCCCTCTTTAAAGCAAGCAGATCAGTTTCTACGACCCGCCGTCAGTCTTCCCTACTGAGGGCGATGGGTGTGAGTGTGTATTTCTGTCTATTATTCTTTAGAAACCCCCCCTCCTCCCCGCCACCCCCACTGAATCACACACTCTTTCTCTTTCTTTCACACTGACACGAATACACACTTCGAGGACCTCAGTAAACAGTTGGGGGTCGTCTGTGTTTTCATACTTTGTGTGTGAAAGCGTGTGTTAATTGTTGCTAATTGGCACAGAGGGGCTCCATTGTCCTCCTGAAAAACAAGATTGTGCTCAGGAACAGTGGAAAGGGAAGGCTGGGGGTTGAAAGATGGCAATCTAGCCCTGTCAAACACGGTGCAGGACTTTAGTTTGAATAGATATTGTTGCTGTTAGAACAAAACCTTATATCTGCATTTTAATCATGTTTTACATGATTTGAAAATACCAGTTGCCTGTTACATTATGTAAATTTAATAATGAATGGGCCAATAGCAAAGGTCTGAAATTAAAGTTTTTTCCTTCTTTTTTTAAAGTTGCAATTTTGGGGATGTGAGGTTTCGTTCTGAGAGAAACAATTTACATGAAGAGTTTCGTTCCAAAATGTAATTCTGTTTATAACAATTTAGTGTATAACGAACTTTAGAAGAGAGTAATGGCTGACGGGTAGAGGAAAACACATTTTAATTTCTCTAATAAATGTGGTATAATCATAATATAGCATTTTATATTATTTGTATGTTTAAAGCTCACTCATATTATGGAAAAAAAATAATATTCTTGAAAGTGGTCTGTAATGCATTTTGGAACGAAACGCTACAGACACACGAAAAAAATCTTTATATTACTGCAATATGTTACAAAAAAAATATACACAGAAAATGTCAATATGATCAATGGTTAATATGTTACGTTAACACAAAAGTGCGTACAATCAAGACAATTGACATTAAAGTAAAAAAAAATTCTTATATAAGAATTCTTATTCTTTTATAAAATTACCACTGTGCAGATTTTGCTACAACGGCAACAATGTTAAACTAATACAAACATTGTAGATAAAATTTGAAACATATTTTGGGGTGCTGTGATTGATTTTACTGTTGTGTGGAATATTTTTCCAAAACATTATCATACATTTTTTAAATGTATTGCCAGTAGCGCCCTCTTAGCCATGTTTAAACATGTTTTGCGGCCACTTCTAGTGGAACTCCATAGGCATAAACAACATTGTGTCCATGGCTGGATGTCAACAATATATCAATATAATTAAGTACGTATCGTGGGGTTTCATTTTTGAAGTTTGTTGGGTTTAAATGGACACACTAGTAGTGTCTCATATAAAATTTTTGCTATCAAAAATTAAGTAGTCTTCTTTATTTGGCACAAATAAGGCCGGTTGTGCTTGCACTTCCTGCATCATCAGGATTCAAACTTGTAGTCATAATTCAAACAGCAAAAAAAAAAGACTTGAAACATGCAGCTGCTCGTTGGTCTGAAAATACTTTTGATACCACACTATGCTCCTCTAAGCTTGTTCTGCCGTAGTTTGTCATGATGATGAGACAGCCAATACCTACAGTGAACTAACCAAATCTGTTCCATTTTCAGGGAAGCTCCAGGACCTGTACAGCAAAGGGCATCCCTACCCAGGTTACCCCAGTTACATCATGATGACCAACATGAACAACGAACCCTACATGAGCAATGGTTCGCTCTCGCCGCCCATGCCCAGAACGGTGAGTAGTGCCTGGCCTGCCTCGGTGCTCTCTGGAGCTCCAGACTATGCACACATTATTACATGGTTCATTTTATAACCCATTCAGAGCTCTTCATTGTGATCATTTATTCACATGTTTTGAGATTGGACTAAGCCTTAGCTTTAAAGTTGCTCATTGACAACTTGTTTCCTGCCTGTTGTGACCAGTATCTTGGCAACATGATGAGTAGGGTGGGGGGTAATGGGGGTGAAGATTGTTGTCATACCAAACATACTTTCAACACAGTGCATATATGATTCCTGCTGTTTGTGATATGTTATGTAATGGCAGTCTTGAAATGTCAAGATTGGTAAATGCACTTCTGATACACCAAAATGGTCCCGTAGCTAAAAAACAAAATATTGCATTTTTAATTTGACGTTGTTTTTTACATAATGCTATGTGATATATCGATTATGCGAGCGTATCGTTATTGGTGTCGGGCAACAATATTCATTGTAAGCTTTAGCACTCGACAGATAACAAAACCTGGGTGCAGTCATTTGCAGACCCCTTCAGCAGATCATAAATTCGTAATACGTGAAAAAACAAAAACAGTACGTTTCCTTTCTGGACATCTGATTTCTGTCTGGCTAATGTTTTCAGTTCTGGGTATGATCCCCTTTGGTGTTATTTTAAGAGAAAAAAAACAAATGATTTAGTTAAGACATTCTTTTAGCATTTATCAGCACTTTATTATTGCAAATTATTAACAGCATTCAGTAGCAAGAGAAAGTACTTGGGAAGGATGGTGAGGGGTAGATGAGGAAATTGTGAAAATGTCTTACAAAATGTGCTTAAATATTCAGAGGAAAATCTTGTGATATCGAATTTTATCAATACCGCCTTGCGTTACTTTTACATAATGTCAGGTTATACAACCGTCACGTGGTGCGGTGACTTTCCTCTCGATTTGTTCTTTCTCCTTCTGCCTCTGTTGCAAATATTCAAAGGGAGAAACCCGAAAAAAGGAGGGAGAGCGATGGAGGACACGCTAGCAGCTGTCCACTCTAATCCTGTTTGGAGGTTTTTGTGTGGGGAAGGCTCCCTGTCTGCCAGTGGCCCCGTGCCGCCGCAGAACTGCACAGGAGCCCACAGACTGCTCCTCTCGACCATTGTTCACAGCTCCACTGTGTGTGTGTGTGTGTGTGTGTGTGTGTGTGTGTGTGTGTGTGAGTGAGTGAGTGATGATTCCCACCAGTACGCTGCGATACTTGTGTATTTGAGAGGATATTGGTATGTAAAGTCAGCTTAGCTGTACTGAAACGTTGTTATTGTTTTTCACCGAGAGCGTGTAGTCCTCTACGTTTCGGCTGGAGAACGCAGCAGCAGTCTTTTCAGACGTACGTCACAAGGAGCATTTTTCCGATGATGTGATGTAGGAAGCGTGGAGCACACACGCTGCCTCGGCTACCGTCACACGCTTTTCTGTGGCTTTGTGTTGTGTAAGGATGAGCTGTGTGGTTTTATTTTCTGTTTATTCCATAGGGCTGCATTACCACCATTATAATCAGGACAGTTACTCTGCAGCCTTAGATTTTAGGAGGAAATTGAAATTTGTTCTTTTGTTCCAGGAATTTGTCACTTTCTGTGACATACTGGTGTTTATTTATTTATTTATTTATTTATTTATTTATTTATTTATTTAGTACATTGCCCTTTTCACCTGTTGTCCAAATTGAGCAGCCAACATGTCAGACACGTATCTTTATATTCCAGCTGTTTGCTGCTGGACCTCAGCAATGCTAATGGCCTTTTTTGGGTGTGCATGTGTTTTCGTTCTCTCTCTTTTTTCTCTCTCTCTCTCTCGTCTCTCTCTCTCTCTCTCTCTCTCTCTCTCTCTCTCTCTCTCTCTCTCTCTCTCTCTCTCTTTTCCCTCATTCTCTTTCTGCTGTGGAGATCAAATATGCGGACACAGTATCTCCAAGGCCTGGGATCAGTTTTCGCAAAGATCAAAGGCAGCCTCTCTTTTCCCCCCTCCTTTTTTTTCTCCCCTTTCCTTTCATTCCCTGAAGTTTGGATTGATTTCCATTGGCCATGACATTCCAGTGCCTGACGCCCACCCAGTCGTGGGCCGGACGTTTTTTTTTTCCTGGTCAGCAGATTTGGGCTGCTGGTACCTAACAATGGTGGAGTCTGGGCGTGTTGGTTAGGCAGCTGGGTCTGTAACATTGGGAGCTGGCTGCAGTGACCCGCGCAGCTATTAACGTCCAGAGGACGTGATCCGCGGAGGCCGTACATGTTGCTCTGACGCAAGGCTTCTCTGATGTCCTGTTGAAGCCTTCTGGAAATGATATAAGGCCTTTTTTTCCAGATCGCCATCTAACTATAGGTCATCAAGGAACGTTTCCACGTGTATGTCAGACTGGTGGTGTTCATGCTGTAGCTTTTGAAGTTGTGTTTTGTTAACCTCGCTTTCAAGAAAACAGAATTGCTAAATAGTTTAAAGTGCAGAAATGCAAGCTTTTTCTCAGTTAATTATATCCTCTTCCTCACAGATGGGAAGTTTCATTTAGTATTAAATAACCGCTCGTTTTCTTGAAGCTGTTTTGTCAGTAGAATCTGAGGGAAGGAAGGAGGGAGAAAGAGAGAAGGAGGAAAAGCTTGAGAAGGGTGGTGAGGGGTTGGATTTCTGTTGGCTGTGTGCTCTGTTCCTGTTCCTTCGCCATGTGTGTTGCGAACGTTCAGCAGGAGGTCGCGTTGGGTTATTTAAAGAGATTTAAAGAGAAACGCTTCACGTTTCTTCTGAAGCCGCTGGCGGAAAGGCGGTGGCAGTGGAGTAGGAAAGCTTGGCAGCATGTCGGCATTCAGTCTGCACTCCTTTTCATCTTTTTTGCGCCTTGGAGGGACCTTTTTCGAAAAAGAAGTTACAAGTTCGGCCCATAATACATCAATTAGCAAACACCTTCCTACAGGAGCGATGCCAAAAGTCCTCCAGTGCATGCTGCATCCCCTGCTTCACTAATGGGCTTTCTGCTTTAAGTGTGGCGGCCTGATGTTGAGTCTTGCAACATTTCGGGGGGAAGTTGAATGGTAGCTTCGAAGCCTCTAACTTTTTTAATAGCACCAAATGGGAATTGGAAACTCAACCAGCAACACAAAAGGGAATGTGGTTGAATTATTAAACAGATTTTTACACCATTAAAGATGCCAGTAGTAAGACGTCCCTTGATGGAAATAACATGAAAATGTGGGGGAGTGCCGTGTGTTCTTTGTGAGCAGGCGAAGACCATTAGGGAGGATTCAGGAAAGTTATTCTGGCAGCAAATTCATACCAGTAGCCAGTATATAATGTTTCCAGTTAGGGATGGCATGATACCACTGCTGATACCGAAACCTTGAGAATTGGCTGATACTGATCTAATATACTTTTCTATTAAAAACTACTAAGCTTTCAGAGCTGTGTTTAAATTAAGCACTTCAATTAGGCACCTATAATTTTTCAACTATTTCTCTTCTGGCCCACAGGAAGAAATACACAGCTAACAATGTGAGTGTGTGCTGTTTCAGGCTAGATTTGTTACAGGTTTTGATCAGATTCATTGATTTTCTGCCAAAGTTTTGACCAAAAATAACAAAATTGTCCTACAATTAGGTATCTAGCACCCAAGAACTTCTCCGTTACAGGTTTGATACCACTTAAAAACATGACACGCCCTCACAGAATACATCAAAACAACAGAAGCAGAAAGGAAAGTCTCCTCTAGGACGCTAATGCCGCTTATAGCCTTCGTTTTTGAAATGAATTCATTGCCTTGGGTAACCAACTGTTAACCATTGAGGATGTCGAATTTCACGTTTATTTAACATGAGTTGTTTTCTTTTTTTTTGTTTTTCCTAGTTGATTTTTTGCTTTTCATTTTTTGGCTGAGTACGTCCAGAGTTTCAGTTTCACTTTCAGCCAGTAAGTTTCATTTCGGAATTAGCGTATTGTGGAAGTATCTTAAAGTATTAGGATGGGGTGGGCAGCATGGCGATATTCATTGTTATCGATAATAAATTGTCACGTCGTGGTTTGCTTTTCTGAGCATTGTGTGGATGTAATGAATTTGGTTCCATGCAGTATATGAGATATTAAATAATAACAAAAATAATTGTTTTCATAGTTTTTGTATTTTAAAATGTTTTTTTGTCTGTTCCAAGTCATCAAACTTCAGAAAAACCAAATATTGTTATACATATTGTGTGCAGTGAAAATGTCTCCTCATATTACTTTTCCATATCGCACACCCCTAGTTGGATGATGTAGCTTGCTGCATTAAATGTTACTGTAGTTGGTAGAATGGTACCTGAATGTGAGACTGTCCACTATGGCGGAAAGATGCTAGTGGATGTGCAGAGGCCATCCTCGTCCCTCCCCCACCACGACTGGCCGCTGGCGATAGAACGCACACACACTCACACTCGCACACTCTCCTTTGATGTGGGACGTGACGGATCTCTTCCTCAGCGTGGACGTGCCGTGGAATCACAACCCCCCCAAACCCCGACTTACCTAACGAGATTTAACACACTCTATGTCCTCCTCTGTGCCTGGGCCCCGCTCCGCCAGTGTCAGCAAACAACATTTCCCAGCAGCCCAGTGTCCAGTTAACTTCCTCAACACTGCTTGATATTGCTAATGCTTTTTCTTTACTGCTTTTTGGATGCTTTTGTGTCAGTAGTGATGTTTTTAGTATTGGTAGTGCTCATGTTTCTCGATGGCAAAGTTGTGGAGTTTTGTTCATATTTTCAAGTTTGGAAGTGGTAACTTAAAAGAAAACCCCAGGATTTTTTAACCTAATGTATATCTGGTACATAGAGCTGTAGCATATTGTTGCTGTCCAAAAAGGGTTTTTTTTTTTTGTTTGTTTGTTTTTTAAGTTTTTTGCAAAATTTGAGTTTAGCAACTGTTCTTTACGTTGTGTGAAAATTTCATTAAGATTGGGCCAATAGAAATGCTCCAGTACTCCAGTATTGCTTTGAATAAAACCTCTTTA